AAATTATTGCTTTTTGTCGTTGTCGTTGCCGTCGCCATCGTCGTTTCTTAAGCTCCCAAATCTCGTAATTAAGAACCAACGGAGTGACCTTTAAATAAAGATATTATATAACAATAAAAATAACTAATTGGGAAAATTAAGTGCTTTAAGTGCTGACCGGATGTCAGCGCCGCTTATTAACGATGCAGATCGTGTATTTCTGAGTCAGTTAGGTTTTCAGTTTCAATAATTTTAGAAGTTGGTAAGCTGTGAATTCGGGGAAGAATAGAACTTTTCACAAATACATCATTTCGACCGAAATTCCCGACCGATCCTGCCATAGTTCCACACAAAAATCCTGCTAATATTTCGGTGGAAATCTTCTTTCCTATTTAAAAATATTTCCAAATCACATAGACTGCATAAATGTTTTGAAAGTGCATTGAGAAAACGCTAATAATGGTTAATAAATAAGAAAGGGGCATTGATTGGTAATTGGGGAGCTTAACTTAAGACGTTTTTAAGCGACTGACGTCAACCAGAAGTGGTCTGTTTTTATTTTTTTTGGGCGCAGTGGTTATGCCTACCTCTTTCGGCCAAATTGTCTTCATAAGACTAAAGGTACTTAAGGATACAAATTTAGAAGCGTTACAGCAGATTAAAAGGGAAAGTGCCTCACTGCCGGTTGACGTGCGTCGCTCAAAAACGTTTCTGCTTAAGCTCCCTGTTAACTGATTAAAGTTAACGTCATGCACTATCCACTGTTCTGGGAGAGGACAGGGGGATGGGAGGCCGGGAAAAAGGAGGGCGGTAGGGATACAGGAGGCGGGAAAGGAAAGGGTGGGAGGTGTGTTCTAATAGAATTGGAACCAAGAGAAACAACCCAGAGAATTTTTTTAAAGTGATCACACAAAAGAGTCATGTGTAAGATTCAAGTTTATTCATTTCCACACAGCTAAAATATACCGTAAACGCCCGCTTATAAGCCCTGAGCTTATAAAAATTCGTAAGGGTCTTAAAAGGGCTTATAAACGGGGGGGGTTGCTAATATCCGGGAGGGCTTATGACCGGTTTCAAAACAAGCTACATAGCAGTGCCGATCAAAATACTTTTTGAATTACTCGCTATTTTAAGCTTCAAAACGTCGTAAAAAAATCGAATTCACTTCAATACCAGCTAAAGGGGATTATATCCGGGGGGGCTTATAACCGGATGTATTTTTTTGTTTATAGGTGGATGGGCCTATAAAAGGTGGGAGGGCTTATAAGCGGACGTTTACGGTATTGGCACGCGCACCTAAATCTACATCTGTGTCAGTTTAGCTGGACACTGAAACATATTACGGGTAAGTGCATAGACAAAACAATTTAACTCAGATTATGAATAAATTCAATACAATATATAAGTTGCGAAAGCAATCCATGTTGCAATTCATGACATTTTTTGCTTTAGCACATGAAAAAAGAGAGGACTCTCCGTTATATTTGCATGCCAGGAAGCAATTGTTTCAGCTTGAACTTCCGTTTAGGTACCAACGTAAAAAATGCTAGAAGTGTCACATGTTTTTAAAATCTTACCTTTAGAATCTAATGGAAAAGTACTAAAAACAATCTGTGATCTGAGGGACCCTCTCCCTAGATCCAAGCGATCGCGAGGGGCTTCACTTTTTGAACAGACCTGATCTATTTATCTTCTATTTCTCTTTATTTGCTTGGTGACACAAAGAAGACCAAGAAGACCAATGAACTCTTGCACTTTTATACCATGGTATATTTTCCAAGTGGCTGCGTTACGGTTTCTGAAGTCATCCATCCTAAGTACAGCTGGAATAAGATGTGATGTTGTTGTTTCTCTCAAACGTTTTCAATTGTCTTTTTCACTTAACTTCACTAATAAAGCATCAAGTTTTTCTTCCAGGCACTTCATCGCCTTTTTAACCTCGTTGCTGACAATATCTTCCAGGCACTTCGTCGCCTTTTTAACCTCGTTGCAGACTATATCTTCCATGTTGTGTCTCATATTATCCTCTTTTGCATTCATCTCCTGGCGAACGTCAGCAAAGTCAGACTTCAACTCCTGAATTTCCAAACTCTGACGAACTACGTCCTCCCTTGCATATATAATGTGATCAAAGACTTTCGACATGTCTTTCTGTAGCTCATCCTCCGATACACACATCTAAAGGGGACCCATAAAAAAGTAATGAGAAAGCCGACAAGGAGTGCAAGATAAAAGTAAAGAAGCCGGCTCGCTGAGGTCAAAACCTGACTTGGAGTTACCCGTTTATACACCGTATTCACAAATGGCGGACACGCGGGAAAAAACTGCTGCCTAGTCATGAAAGCGAGGCGTTGGAGGATAAACAAAAATTGCAAAGCTCTCGTGGGATGTTTTAAGAAATGTCTTTCTGAAGTACAAGTATTTCAACTTCGTCATAAACAAGTAGCCTGTGAAAAGGCTCTCTGTTAAAATGGATCTGAGCCTGTCATAAATTAAAACCAATAACTGATCAGCGGAGAGCTATGGAAAACACGTCACTCATTGAGTTGTAGACCTGAACCCGCGATACAGTCATGAGATACTGTTCAGTGGATATCCTACTTTTACAGCTGTCAATTGACCATATATAGTATTGATATCCAATATTAAGTTAAACACAGATTGTATACGCCTTGGACTACCAACTAGTAAATGTGGCGTTTCACATCCGCTATCATAAAGGGGCGGTGGACTGGCAGACAGACGATTTTGTCACAACCCAGATACCCAAATTTCTTGGATGCATAGATAGCCAAATTTTATCAACCAGGGTGCTCCGCTGCCCGAGCTTCGTGCGCAGGAGAGCTCCGCTATGTGAAAGACGGGGTGACACCTCATACTCAACAATCAAACTCGCCTAATTTTTAACAAGCGATAGAGATAAGCAATGTGTTGACTTACTCAAAAGATAAGGTCAAAAGACGGTCCAAAACATAACGAAGGAGCTTTCTGTTAAAAAGGCTAATGTTCAAGCGTTAGATCGAATTACCTATTCATGACAATGACTGACGGATACAATATTTTATTATCGTTGCACCAACCATGCAGCTATACATTGTATGACATTTCAAGACGAGAAAGAGACTCGACATCGTAACCTCAACTAAGGACCTTGATTCATAATTATCAGAGAGTTTCACTGCCCATGAGACTTTTATCCAAGAGCTTTAGAGTCATACTATGAGAAGGAGATTTTTTTACTACATTTAAAAAAATATTTAAGCGATATATAATAGTTGCAGAAGTTTTACACCTCAGAAAGTTATAAATGCTTACTGGCATAAGCATGTACCAAAAAAACTTGGTAAGTTAGTCTAAGTGTGGACCTTACCTTGGCCAACACACGGCTCCCTACAGTCATGCCAATGACAGGAAATAGCGGCTTTTCAAAGTCCACAAAAATAAGGCTCTTTCCCGGGCTTTCTCCACCTTCCAAAATTATCTCACTGCCATTTAGTGTGAAGAAAACTGGAATTTTGCCGTCTGCATCTCGCCTTTCCTCAAACAAAACAGTGCAGCCAATGCGATCACCTCGGCGAGCCATAGCAGGGCCTGTGACAAAGAAGACACGTAATCATGAGCTGATATCACATGCAGCTCCCTATTCACGTGATCTGATCAATGCAAAAATTATATAACTTAAGCTGCTAAGATTACAACTTGTAATCTTAAGAGAACTGGTGGCAGGCATGCATTCTTCTGAGACCAGGCCTATTAGCAGAACTAATATTAAAAGAAAAAAAAACTAACTGATTCATCAAAGTAAGCGTCACCGAAAAAAATTAACATATTGTTGCGGCTCAACATAATATAACATTTTTTTGCCCAAAAAAAAACAAGTCAAAGCAGTCATTTTGTGGAGAACGGTAATGTTGATTCTTATACATTTCAAGCCACGTGACTTTCTTAAAGGGGTATTTTATCTTCGTCACTTTATGAATTTGAATTCATAGCTGGCAAGGGAATAAAATGAAAATTGAAAGGAACCATTCTCTAGAGTAACATAAAGTGATCTGCGATGATGAATTAGTGGCGAACAAACAATCCTAGTTAAAAAGAACTATCGACGCTTAGTGTTTTCGCAAAAACGTACTTCGTTCTCTAAGGGGCGTTTGCCTGCGTCATGTGATGCGTTCTGACTTTCAACAAAGGGGAACAGTAATGTTGCAATATTCATATCCAATTTTCTCTTTTGCAGGCAGGAGTAAGTTTCTCAAATGTAAGAACCACCTGGCACAACATACTTCGCAGTGCCACAAAAACGGTACTGCTCAGTAGCGTTCATTTGAATATCCTAACGTTTATGGTTTCATAGGTTTCATCCCCAGAATCAATACAAGAATATACTGTAAAAAAACTCAATAACCATAGCTACGGACCACGCGGGGACCCAGTGAGGACTAAACTGGACACGTAATCGTGAGCATATACTATAGTAAAATTTCCAGTGCATGCTTTGCTGAAAAAAGTGTCAGCTTATAAACTGGCTAGAAAGGCAGCTAAACCTTGTATCAACGGAATTAGCTCTGCTCATTGTGATATTAGATGCACTGCTGTGAAAATGTGAAGGTTGTTTTCTAGACTACCTAAAACTCATTTTGGCGGGGCTAACATGATTTTGCCGTTAGATCTGTGGGCCACGGTAAACTTTGTACGGTAGCTTCCCGTTGGATCGTCGTCGTCGTCATCATCATCATCATCGTCGTCATCATCATTATCAAAATCATCATCATCATTATCATCATTATCATCATCATCATCATCATCATCATCATTATTATTATTATTATTATTATTATTATTATTACTATTTTCGATGGGTGAAGGTGAAAATTATCCGTTTTCTAAATATCTAGGATGAGTAAAACCACGTCAAAGGTTTACATAGCTGCTGAAACTGAAGCGCCCGACTCCCTCGACGCTTTGTGTCTCGGTCGTTAGCCGCTAAGACAAATTCACTCAACTTTACTCATTGCATACTCCAAAAGGCACCGTTCGTCATCGGCTTAAATCTAAACAATAGCACCAATCAGTTTTCTAAAAGTAGTGTTCAATTCTGTGGGGCTCTCTGTGACGCCTTCGTTGAGTCCTCAGATTTTGCCAGACCGCGCATTTCTTGTAAAATAATACAAATGAAATACTGTAGCAGCCTTTCATCTTTGAGCCACTATCTGTATTCAGTACGAAGAACCAAAATGATTTCGAAGATCTCTTTTAAATCAGACATCCCTATACGACTGCCAAGTTTTGTAATGACCGTCTTAAGTTTTGGTTACACGATCTTGATCTACTAGTTCGGCGAAACGTGCTTTTCCTATTGATCAGATGTTTCACTTTTCTTTAAAAGCATAGTTCTGCATAAACGTTTTTAATCATATATGCCAATAATAACAGTGGCGGATCTAGGGGAGGGGTCCAGGGGACCCGGACCTCCATCTTATTTATAGGCCAGCTGAGGTCTACGGAGCCAAGAAATACTTATTTTTGAGGCCGGGTCCCTTCTAATCTTAAGGACTGAGCGGGCCCTCTACTTACTTAAAGATCTGAACACGTTAATCATCATTTTCTCTACAGTAGTAAATTAACCTTGAATTCGAACCCAATGAAAACCAATTATACGGTGAGTAAAGTAGAAGAAAAACTCAGAATGCCAGCATCATAGGTTATACCGTTAATATTCTAACCGTTCTGTCAGCAGCTGACCATAACAAAAAATTCGTCAATCTTTGGGTTTGTTTGAGCAAACCGCTGAAGGAGCTAACTTGGATCAAATTTGGCACGAAAACATTGTTGCCATGTTGAAAGAGAGTTAATAGCAGTCTTGAAAATTTTAGAATAGGTAAGTAACCTTATTTCTGTAAGTAGTCAGTCTAGTAAGGAATCTGCTAAGTAAACCAAATGGAATTGACAATTTCTTATTATCCCAAAACGTTAGCTGGGTCATAAAGCCTCCTCCCTACTCCATGCCCCACTTTGTCCGCGACCCCTGACGTGGCATGTAATAAAATAATCAAGAAAACTGTTTTTTCGAAAGTTTTATCCTGCTGTTAATTCTTAATACCTTTGGTCCCTATGGCGTCTTCAAGATTCTTAGTATTGTGAAAGATGTTCCCATCATCAGTATGGTAGCCAAGAGATTCTTCATACCATCCTGGCATTTCACTTGTTTTGTAAGCTTCATTCGTGATACCTATTGCCAACCATTTGTATTCACCTGTCTCCACAATGGTAATCTGAGGGTGGAAAAGGTACTATAACATCGTAAAACACTTTCGTATTACACTCCACCTCCGAAGCTGTTCCAAGCAACTCCACAAAGCAAGCAACGACTGCAACCCCTCTAGTAATCCTAGATTATACATTACTACTTTTTTAATTACCGTTTCATGTAACACCCTCCTCTCCCCAAAAACTAGTTTAATTGGAAAATTTTACCTTTAATTGTCATTACAAAGTCAAGGATTGCTATGCTTTATTTAAAGGGTTAATCGTATCCTAGTTTGGAGCCCCTGAGGTGTTTCAGTCTTATTTACAAAATAATTGTTGTTGATAAACAATACGTCACCTACAAATTGCCAATAGAAGATTAGTCATATTAAGTCAACAACCCATATAGACAGTCAAACTAAAATCCTTTTTGCTGTTGTCGAAACTCACCTCAAAATGAGGAAACTCACGAGAAAGGGGCTGACGATATCTGGCACCATGATGATGGTACTGCGGATCAGGAAAACATTCCTCCGTACAATCGCACGTCACAAGTGGGCCTTCTATTTGTATTCCTGGATTGGGATCCCATTCCTTGAAATCATGAAATGAAATATTAAAATGAAGGGATTTTTATGTATTTACTACAGTCTAGCTATAGCGGCACGTTTTAGGATGAACAAAAGTTATTAGGGTTATTGAAGGATTCCTTTGTTGGGGATACATGCAGTCATATTTTTTAGTCCTAATTCTTACATATGTGAAATAAACCTAACCCAAGTCTCATCAAAGTCAAAATAAACTCTTCAAATATACTCATTGATCTGGGTCTTCCTGGCTTTTGCTCAGGACTGGTGTTTTTCTTCGCATAGGAGCCATAATTTAAGTTCTGGGCCTTGTCATGTAACATATCGTAAAGAAGCGTAAGTGCATCCCAGTGTGGAAGGCCAGTGTAAAATTCGATATCTTCATCCTTTCCTTAAATTTTGAAATGTCAAACTTCGGATTTTTCAGTGCATGCTGAAGTCACTTTGAATCTCTAGTCAACTCGTCTTTTTCTTTCGCTAATTTGCCTTTTTCCTCACCAGTCGATTTTAATTCAAATTCCAATCGATCGAGAAATTCTCCAGCTATTTCAGTTTGCATCTCAGCATCACAAAAGGAAAGAGTCAGTGAAACACCGTTGCTTTGAGTGTCCATGTCAATCTGATCAACTGACACTTCATTTACTGAGTCAGCTTCATCGTCCATTTCGGTACAAGAAATGTCAGTGTTTCTTTTCCTGGCTCTTAAATTCGAAGTTGCCTCTGACCTGTATAGAATTCGTCGTTCATGTTTTTTTTACTCCAAGGAAAGATAGATGGTAGATGAGTTCTACTGCGCTTTTCACCACCACCCTAATGGGAAGAGCAAATCCGTGTGCTATCGGAGTTCAAATTCAAATTATCGTTCTGAAAGCACGCGAAACAGTCGCAGAAGACGCCGTTCTGTTCAGGTGAGTAAACTTTTCATGGCCAATATTTACGCTGTTTACTGCGCAGTAAAATTAGTGCTGCTTAGAAAAGGGAGGGTAATGTGTGATATTTTCAAAGAAACTGTTTTATTTTTAAAGTGAAGATACTTAAGGAAGTCAGGTTTTCAGAAAGTTTATTAATTCTTCTTGAAATTCGATTTGTTTGGAATAACGGAGGCCAGAAACATTCACTAAGTATTGACGTCAGGTGCCCAGTATCCGGACAGTTTTTTCTTTGCTGTACAGAATCGATGAATTAGCTATGTACATTGTCCGGATAAGATTTATTTCATATCAGTAACTATAATTAAAGCTTAGGATATATGATATAGTCGTAAAATGTAATTCTACTCAACTCCGTATGGCAAATTTTCTTCACTCATTCAGAGGCGACTTGATTTCGTGTGCACGGCTTGTGACGCGTGACTGATTTTCTATATATAACCGAAAGCGGCTGCGTTGAACCTGGAATTCTCATACTTTCCCCAGTTGTGACTGCTAGAATGGGGTTGCAACGGTCTTAAAAATGTCACAAAGAGATTGAGAGATGTGAAAGAAGGAGGAAATAGTGCTAGAAAAGAAGGCTTATTGTGGGGACTGAGAATGAAGAAATCAACACTGCAGGTTAGACTAAATAGGAGAGTGACCTTTGACCGTCGGATTGTGGTCCCTTCCCCAAGCTTTCTAAAAATAAAAAACGAAGAAAAAAAAGTCGTTTGCAGATTGGCTAATTGAGCTAGCAAACTGCATCTTCGGCATGTCCACGGATGCCTTCCTTAAATCAGTGAAAAAGTTACTAGACAAGGAAGTGAGATTTATACCATTTTTAAAACAGTCGCTCGCGTTCCCCACCATAACCCAGTCATTTGTTATGTTTTATTTCACGATGCTAGGTTATATTTTTGGAACCGATTGCCAAACTACTTTGCAAGTGCAAGAGAAGCTTATAAGTCGCTTGCCTGTCGAAATTTATGTACAATTACGTTGTTATTGTTGTGTCCGGATACTGGGCCAGCTGTCCGGATACTGGGCAACATAGGAGCTCTGCAAAAATATTAATCTCGCAGTGCAAACAAAGGCAAAAAAGTTAAACTGTCTTTCGTCATATTAAGGACTAAATAGATTTTCTCTGGGCCAAATTTCAGAGCTCTTGCGATTAACAAAGGAAAGTTATTGCAATGTTAAACTGAAGTGTCCGGATACTGGGCAACATACTGTATTCAACAAAATGCCAGACCATGTGAGTTCTTGAAATTATTTGGGCACAAGGGCACACAGCAGGTTGCATGTCCTGGCATTATTCCAGGTGGCTGCTCGGAGCTTTCTGTTCCCCCAAAGAATCCCATAAACGCGCGCGCGTTAAGTTTGGTCCCAGGTTATCACTCATTTCCAAAGTGGGCTATTTAACAATTATTCCACGAGGGCGCGTTGGATATGAGATGAAAGATAGCCAACGAGGCGCGTAGCGCCGAGTTGGCTATAAGCTTCTCAAACTCATTAATAATTCATTAAGAAAATACAAAGGAAATTAATGTTTAATGAGTGTTTGGAAATCGGATGAAACACTGCTTAGTATTTGCATCCTTAATTTCTCCTTCAAAAATGATTTTGTTTGAGAAGAAATATCAAACATTCGACACAGTGTTTCATCACCAGATGAAACACCTCGAAGTTCGTCAAAAATACTCCGCTGCGCGTCGTATTTTCAACTCTCTTCTCGGTGTTTCATCTGGTGATGAAACATCTCATGTTTGATATATTACATCTCAAATCCAACAAGCGGGAGTGGAATAATTGTTTTATTAAAAACGCCCACAAAATCTCGTTGAATCTCCCCGGCTAGAACAAACCGGAAAAGACAAAGGACTTCCGCTATTCACATGTCACACGTCTATCAAAACTGTCTACGCGCGAACGGACTCGCCTGGACTGCATGAATGAAAAATCAAAACATTGTAGCGATGAACATTAGTTTTTTAAAAACTCATCGGGATTCTAGGATTTTACACAGCAGAACAGCAAAAAAAAAACCTGGCAGATAATGTGAAGGAAAAGAATTTTTAAGTGACAGCCGTCGAAATTACTGTGAATTTGGATTTTCGGTGCAGTTATGAAAGCAAGAACAACGGAGAAAAACTATTACCTCGGTCGCTTGTTATGAAGTTGTTTAAACCCACAAGCTGGTTTTGCTGAACGAGAAAACTAGCTATACGGCCGCCTCGATTGCTCTGGTGAATGGCTGCATAACCTGTATTTGTAGCTGGTTACTTGTGATTTATATTCTTGATGTCGGATAAACAAGCCGCAGTTATCTATGGGCGAGTGACTCGATGGGCGAATGGCTTCGCGATCATGAAGAAACAACTCTTGTCTTCTTTCTTAGCTGGTCAAGGTACTTTAGTTCCATGTGTTTTCATGTGTTTTTAGACAAACTTTCAAACAAGCTCTTGTGGCTTTTTTGTTTGTTTTTGTCTTTTTTCTTTCGATGAAATTGCGTTTCTAGTATTCTAAGAAATGAATTAAAACGATTTGCTTCGGGCGCCGCTCTATCCTTCGCGAAAATAATCTCAGCTAGCTTCCAATTTTAAACTGACGCGTACACCGACCATATATGGAGAGCATGGTATAATAGCTCATATACCATAACGGCTAAGCCAATCAAAATGCTAGAATTGCATTATCCAATGATTCAGTTTTTAATAAAAGACCTTAACCTTAGGACCCATTGGAAATGTAAAGAAATTCAATCTCTTACGCGGCCATTTCTAGCAAGAGAAAGAAAGAGGAGGCAACGTCACTGACTACGTTCATTAAAGATCCCGTGACACTTGACTGTTTCACTGAGAAATAATAAACCCATGGCGCTCTATAAAGTTTTTCAACTAATTGCTTGGAGATATTGAACTTAGAATATTAGTTTTTTAGGAGAGGGGAGAACCGGAGTTCTCGGACAAAAACCTCTAGCTCGGAGCAAAGGAGAGAAATAATAGTGAACGCAACCTGCATATGGCGTCAGCGTCTGGACCGGAACCCAAGCCAGTTGGCGGGAGACGAGTGCTCTCACAACAACTTCATCCCTGCTCCTCATACGGCCGTCAGCATTCAGAAGAACGACATAGTATATGTGTTATTGGCCAAGGGTGAGGTCAAGTTGTCAAGGCGGCTGAATTTTTTTTTTTTTTCGTTTTCATGGACCGAGACGAAGTCGATGTCAATAAAAAAGCAGAAAAGAACGAGGGAAATATCCAACCATCTTGACCGAACAGTCTTGGTTAATAAAGGATTTATTATATGGCCAGAAAGAGAACTTTTTCTTGCGGGACCAACGCGGGAAATCCCTAGCGGGCAAGAAAGTTGCCCGCTCGGGCACCCCCGCCAAGTATGTTCACACCTACGCGTTCGGTTGAACCTGAAGATCTACTAAAACCTTTACGACCTAGCTACTCACATGAATTGGTGTTCGTCGATCACCATTCGAAGACGAGAAGGTCTTGTAAAGGATTTGACTAATCATTTGTCGGTTTCTCTCTGTCTCTCGCAAAACGCGATCTCCTTTCGTGGCATCTATATGAACAAAACATCACGTTCACCTCGTGCAGATGGGTGTAGGAAATGTTTTATAACTACTGATTTTTTCACAAGTATCATGATAGTATTGCGATGTTTGTGTGTGTGGGCAAAAAAAGTCAATTAAAAAAATTAAGAGTTCATTGAAATCGGTAGAGCAGGTAGTACCATTGGCATATCTCATCGGCTTTTTAATTCCTATACTGCTGGGATATGTAACGATCCTAACTTGTATAGGCATTTTTTTTTTCTAGATTATTATTTAGTGCGCTGGTTTTTTTTTTCTAGATTATTATATGGGATTTATGTTTCAGATGTCGAACACAAGAAAATAAACTTTTTTTGCTTTGTTTTTACCTTCTTCACTTCGCCGCATTACTCTGTCTTTTATTTCTCTCCTGGTGACAGTTTCCTGTCAGCGATCTGGCCACCTAGCTTATTTGTTTATAGTCGAGGTTTTAATGTTCAATTTAGTTTGAATTTCCTTTTGCTTAAGCCACTACTCAGCAAGGTTGAATACAATAATGGTTTCGAGCGCTCGGAGTACTATATCTGAGCAAACTTGGCAATCCATCAAGAAATTAAAACAAGGTTGCCATGGGGCAAGCACGCATTTCATCGTCCGTCCGTCCGCACCACAAGGTTACCAATATTATAAGGCACCAATAGTTATCAAGCAAAAAATTATTATAAGTCAGTTTCGCGTGCAGGGAATCGATACAGATGCCTATGAAGCAAGCAGAACTAGACAGGGCTAATAAAGGGCGGTGTACTTTATATATTCTGGCATCCACGAGGGTTGTAGAACAAATAACGCACTGCGAAATGAACCGATTTATTTAGAAGTACCTATGTTCTTCCAGTCACCTCAATCCTAGGTGACCGATAAGGATTGGTCTCTTAAGTGGGCCTAATGTTTCCTGACCTCTCTTTCTGTCAGCGTGTTTGTCATGGTTCTAACTTACCTGTAACTGGAAACGAATTTGCATGCTCCCTGAAGTATTTTACTTCAAGGTCCTTTACAAATCCCTGAAGTGCATTCTAAAACAAAAAATAATAGAAACCTCCTTGGCATAATTCAAAGCCGACAAAACACAACCAACCAAACAAAACAAAAAAAATAATTATTATCATTATATAATAAAACAAACAAACAAAGACAGTCACAAATTGCCAAAAACCTACTGACGTTTTTTGCAAAGAAATGTGATTGCCGTCGTAACACTCACATCTTCCTCTTTTTTGACTTTTTTCGTACAAAGCCTCAGTAGTCTGTATATTCTGTAGATAATATTAAGAGGCACTGGAATCGGATCATATCCATTGTACGTCTGAATTGTAATTGCTCTTTTAAACGACCATTCTCTTACAGCGTTTTCCTTGCAAAAATTAAACAACAAACACATTCCTTAGCACAACATTGTTGAGCTGACAATAAACGCTGTTAGAGAAAAAAATTATATAACAATTTCCTACAACAATTTACCCCTCGACCCTAGACTGCAAAACAGTCGGTTTTGTTCTCAAAATCACTAAAGAAATCGGTAAAGCGTGACGTAAGAGTCTTACGCGCACGAAGCGCGCGAGCCTGACTGCTCGCAGGTACTTGAATACCCAAAAATACGGACTGTTTTGCAGTCTACCTCGACCCGTGTCACCGACCTGCGACTCACGAAAATAATTTGATTGTCCACATGGAAATATATATTATATAAACACCAATGAAATACCAGGTGAGCTTTCGGGCGAAAACTTTACATCTTCACATGTGAAAATATCACCGCTGCTATGGCTAAATCGCACGTCCTTTCACACCAAAAAACTATTTAAGTAAAATGGTTTGGTATTTCATTGGTGTCTATATAATACATAGAGCATTTCATGGTCGCTTGGAGATACGAAATTTCTCTTCGAGTGTTGAAAAATATTTCAAGAGTGAGCGCATGCGCAGTGATCGTTTGAAATATTTTCTTCAACTTCTCGTGATGAAAAAAATATTTCAAACGTTCGCTGCGCTCACTCTTGAAATTTTTTTCAACACACGAAGAGAAATTTCGTATCTCCGCACAGTCATGTAATATCGTCTATAAATCTATCTTTACCTAAAACTACTTCCCAAAATAAAAGTTAAGACTGACTCAAAAAGTAAAGAAAATTCTTCAGTAAGGTATTGAAAACCAGTAAGCACTGTAAATGACATTGTAGCTCATGTTCAATTTGATTTAAAAAAATGACAATTACTGAAAAAACAAATTTTGAGCAAAGAAAAGAAATTAAAGTATAAAGTGAACGATTACCTAAGGCGTCACGAATATCGCGTCAAGAACCTTGTTCTACAACCAAAACAAGGTCACTTTTTGCCAGTTAGCGATTATTATTCATTCAAAATATTTCCAACTAAAAAACATGCTACCTATGTAAGGTTCCCTTCTTCATTAATTGACATGTTCCTCGGCGGTTTCAAGTGATGTTTATTTAGTCTAGGTTAGTCCTCAAATAGCAGTTGTCATCCGCCATTCGTTGCTTATTACTTCGGCGGAGCGCGAAGTAAAGGATTCGCGACGCTCAGGAATGTATCAAAGTTGCCATTTTTTGACAAGATTGGGCAAGCAAAGTCTGTAGGTTTTCGGTTCTATTCGGCTATTTGACGAAGTGAGAGCTGAATTAGTTCGAGATATCTCGAGATTACTTCGATTTCTTTGATTCATTCTTTAACTTTTTCGAGGAAAAAAGAATTATTATTTTGGCTTTCCCGGGGTTTGAACCGACTCACCTGTGTGACCCGTCAGATCAGAGGAGACTCTAAGTTGAGGGATTAGCCGATTGCGCTACTGCGACCCAAGGTAGAAAAATCTCGGAGACAATTTGTCCCGAAATGCTCGTTTTTGGCAAGTAGGCCTCTTGGATGTTGCTCTTTTCAGAATATCCTGACAAATCCCATAAATTCACAAATTAACACCTTACTCTTACCATATTTGATTTCTTACTATTCCTTCGCATTTACAATTAATTAGTTCCACAACCACGACGCCGAAGTGTACGCTCCGTAGCGTCTTGTTCTTTTTATGTTTTCTAGGTAGTAGTTTGACTGTTTCGCTTTTTAAAACGTGTGCAAAGTCCTCCGCCATTTTCTCCAGCTCAACCAAAACAGCTGAACTACCGCGCCTTCTGCTGTCCCTTCATTTTTCATAATATCCGCCAGCAAACATCCTCCAAATTTGGTCAACGGTAGCTGGGTATAAAAAATTAGCCAGGGGATTTAAGCCAACCAGAAATGAAGAAATGTTTTGAATGAATAATTATATTAAGTAAATAAGGCTAGACTTTGGCATCGACGGTTCTTAACTTTACTGTGAAGTCTAAGAATACATTTGTATTTGACAGCCTAACAATGTAAATGAAGCAGCAGAAACCCTTGTTTATTGCAACTTGAAGTGAGCTGCTATAGTGTTAGGACGACGCATTGATGTACTGGTTTTAACCAGTACATCAATGTACCAGTACTCAAAAATGGTTTTATAGTTTGAATTTACTTTATAACATAACAAAAGTAAATCGCGCGCTCTGATTGGTCAGTTAGCCACTACCATTTGCCCGTGGGTGCACGCCAAGAAACTGAGCTAGCGCGGTAAAATTTTGGCAAATTCAACAAATGTCCTCTCCTGACGGTAAAGTACACCGATGAAATTTACAGATGAAAAGTGGAAGTTGAAGAAAATACTAAGCTGTCGTTTTGAAGGAAAAAAGACAAAAGATCAAGCGACAAATTTGCCCTGGATGAATTAATCACTGTTTTCCTCGCGGCTAGAATCGGCTGAAGGAAAATCGAGCGAGCGAAGATTTAAGGTACATTTTGTTTGTTTTTTGTAGAGGAGAAAGTCTGTTTGAAATGTAAATTTATCAATTAGCATTGTGGTATTGACTTTTTGGTCAAGCTGATGCTAAATTCAAGCAAATATTTTAGGAAACACGCTCAAATTCGAGACAGCTTTGTTGTGAAGTTTTCATCGCATCGATTAAAAATTTTAGTTGAGTTTAAACGGGCACATTACGCTGGAATAAGCGAATTTCATTTGAGTACAGACACATTTGGGTTTTCAAATAAATTTTTCAAAAAATAACTTCGTGTGTATTATTTTGTTCCTCAGTGTTCATTCATAACAGTCGTTCAGAGAACGGTCGAAAAACAACAGCTTCAGCGCCGGCTGTGCGTCGGCAAATTTCGGTTACAACTTTGACTTTCATAGCTGGATTTTCCCAGACAGATTCGATACAAAGCTAGTTAATTTCTTTTTAAAATTAGTGTTACCTGTTCTTCTGAAGGAATTACAGTCAAATTTTCTCATTTCTACTTTACGTTTATTTCAAAAATTGTCACATAAATAAGCTTGATAATTATTTCATTTATTTAGTTTTAGCTTATTTTTTAGAGTCTTTTTAGTTGGTGTTTATAGTTGCAGCTATAGTTTCCCCTCAAAGTTTTTACCCTAATATTAAGAGCAAGTAGACAGATTCCATTAAGAATAACAACAAAAAACGTTTTGCAATTTGCCTGAAGATGAAGAACGGTTGATTCAGCGAAAGAAAAACTCAAAGGCAAGTTTCTGAAAAACATTAAACATGATTTGTTTACGCGCGGGCAGATGGCAGCATACATGAACTCGGACCGATGACTCAACCGAAGGCAAATGGAAAATAATGTTTTTCTCTTTTGATTATATTATAAAAGAAATGGTAAACGTTGCAGCTGAGCAACCATGGAGTTATGGATGCACTTGGGAGGTTTGCTAAGCACTCAAGAAGACTCTTACGCTTCTTTCGTGCTTAGCAACCTCCCGAATGCATCCATAACTCCATGGTTGAACGCTGCACGTTTACCATTTCTTAAGTTTTACAACGCTTTTAAAATACCAAAAAAATAGGTGCACACTATATATACCTCGTTGGTGCAATCGATATAGATTTTTAGTGATGAGTCCAATGAGTTGAAATTTTCGTCCTTTTTTTTCGCTTTAAACAGTGAAAATAAGTCTTACTGATCTAACTTTATGTGATTGTAAGTGAGAGTAACAAGGGGTAAAACTAAATGATCTCTAAATGATCTTTTAAGATTACTTTTACAAACCACTAGAAATAAACTGATCCACACCTTGTGCACGGACGTAAAAACAATAATAAGCCAAGTCTTTACCTCTGTTTTCTGATATGTACTGGACAGCAAAGCTATCAGCATGTTAATGAGAAGAACTACTCCCATTATAAGAAAAGCAGCGTAGAAAATTCGGGCAAGTAAGACCGACGAGGGATCCACAGATATCATGGGGCCAGACTCTTCTGAACGGTCAAGCAGGGACCAGCCCAGGTGTGAGAACATCGCCCACCAACTGTAAGTGAACAGAAATATAACTACAGTAATAAGTGTTATCATTCATTATGCATCAATCTATTCCAGCTGAGGCTGAGAGCCCACCTTCCCTTCCCCGCCCGGAAATTATGAGGCATTTGCTCACGGTTTAATGTTGGGGGTAATGCATTTGATATATTATCACTACCGTAGGGGCTGGGCATTTTCCTACCCCTGGGTAGTACCGAGGCATTTGGTACCCATCTCATTCGGGTTCTGCATGTGATAAGAATTCAAACTTAGCCTCGATCGTCAAGAAAACCCCTGTGAAAGATATCTCCTGAGGTGAATCAACGATAACTCCAAAATATCGTACATGCTCACACGTAGTAGTAGCAAGTACAAGTAGTACACACCTCTAAACTAGGGGTACCTTCCGGCAAGTGCCAACGAGGCGAATTCGTTTATCTTTTGTGGAATGTGCCTATTCAGATCTTCTTTCATAATTTTAGAGGTTTAAAATGGATTCCGCCATAGAAAAGGATGGCACCCAACTTCAAAACAACAATTTTGGCACTTTCTAGGCTTTTACTTTTGTTAAACAATAACAACATGGCTTGAAGCTTTGTTGGTAAATATGAGCAAGTTAGCACTTATTTTTCATGGAAGATTCTATTGTATCAAAGCTGTAAACGTTAGAAAGAAAAATATAGTTCAAATGAGGCCTTTGACTGCTGAAATTAAAAATAATAGTTAAATTCCGAGCAACAGCGTCATCAGGGATAAGAAAAATATTTTGCGTGGTAATATACATAAGAAAAAAATTGGTGTAAACTAAAATGTGTAAAAAGCGCGCAAGAATGGGGCGGAATGTATTAGAGGTATAAAAATATAAACTTGAGTAAAATACAAAGATCTAATGAGCGAGTGTCACAGGACAAAGAGTCTCTTGAAAGGCATAATGATAGTCTGAAAAACAAAAGGTCCGCAAATTCGTTGCATTCCTCACGGGAGTTTTGGGCTGTCTCAATGTAAATCGAGCAACCAAAATACATGCTGGTTGACAAAATCTCTCGAAAAACATAAATAAATTTTTAAAAAAAGGTCCGCAAATACGTTGCATTCCTCACAGGAGGTGAGAACTGGCTCAACGTAAATCGACCTGCGAAGAACACGCTGGTTCTGATGTAAGTTTTGAGAATATAACCGTATGCCTTGACCAACTACAGCTTAAAATTCAGTTCACAAAAGAAAGAGAACACTGAAAACTCTGCTTCTGAGTCGAGAAGCGAACACGCTACCTCAATATAAATCGAGCTTCAAAGAACAAGCTAGTTCTGACAAAAATTTGAGCGTAAAACCCTATTCCTTGATAAACCAGAGCAGTAATTGCCCTTTCAAACTAGAAATCACCAGTTAGGTCCTCTTGAACAGACAACGAACAGCTGCACACTGAATTACCCAATCTTGATCCACGAGTTGTAAATACGAGACCATGACGTCACTACCCAAATATGGGGTCTTACTTACACCCAAATATGGCCAAAAATGCAAATTTTAGAGGGTTACGCAGAATTTTAGAGTTTTTGCCTACATTGCACGGCGTTATAATTCTGCCGCCGAGTCAACCTCGTTTCTTAACTCGGTTGCCTTGCACACTCCCTGGGCACACCGCCCCCCCCCCCCTTTCGAAAAAGCGCCTTCCCCCGTCCCCCCCTCAGTAAAATTTAAATCAGTATGCACTACTTTTTACTTTCAATAAATATAGCTGAACAGAATGACCCAGTAGAGGTCTCTAAGTTCCGGTGTGAAATCCTGCCAAGCTACTTCAAAGGAGACGCCTCTTCAAAATCAGATGGTGCGTGTCTTGTTTATAACTCTTAAAGTTTTCGAAAACTTAAACAAAGACTATGTCATATTGAAGCCGAAATTTGAAGAAGGAGAATAAAAGCAATAGCGATTATCTTTGAAAGAATGACCGAAGGAATAATTCAAAACTTCATTCAAAAACGATGAAGGTTTGTTTATAGTGGAAGTGCACTTAGCTCAGGTACTCCACTCAAATAATTAGAAACAAGTAATCCAAATAGAACATAATATACACTTAATATCAGATCCCGAGGGAAACAGTTAGTTTTGTTTTCTCGAGAGTCCTGGTGTTTCCCCTGGCCCCCGGATAGCGAGTGCGACGCGCCAACCACTCGGCTGCGCTGCCAGTTTTAATCGACTTCAATTTTGCCCATCCGAACGCTTTTATTTTGCTGCTTTGTTAAAGTGTTCTCTCGCTGTTTTAAGTCCGCAGGGGACCCTTATTTGTGAATATATTTTAACAATGCACATTTCGCTTGTGCTACGTCTTTTAAAACGCCTACATCTCGGCTGTTTTAGAGGCGATTTAGATAAAACATTACAGAGACCTTTACAGGAATGATGTAAATTTAAGAGCGTTGTTTTTTTTATTTGATAGATCATGCTTTACGGCAATGTTTTAACCCACATTGGTGTCAAATTGGGAAAACGTTATTTTGTGTCCAACTTGCGGATCGAATAGAAGACAGCACTTTCTCATCCCTGAAATTAGGGCCTTTTTACATGGAGGTGGGGTACCCCAGGTACGGTGAGGTAACCCGCTTAGGTGGGGTAACCCGCCTATCCCATATAACGTTTCATTTAAATTTAATTGCATTTACATGTTAGGTGGGGTGACCCACCACATGCTACCTCACCTATCTGTGCCACCCATCTCCACAGGCCTTCACACACGCATTTTTGGTTAAGTAAAACTTCGCATCTCTTAAGTCTTACCAGCCTAGTGTAAAGACAACCTCAAGACAAGTTGCATACGTTTCATGTTGCCTGTTTTGCCGTACCTTTAATGCTTTTATCTTTCCCTAAAAGCTACTGTCATGCCCCTTTGTAGAGCCAGCTAGTGAAGTTCTGTATCTGCGCTGAATTCCTTGCTTGGACACAAAATTGTGGGAGAAGTCAAATGTTGAGGCTTAGAAAGGTGTTCCGACTAAACACGAGTGCCAAGCAAGAAATGTAATTAGTGTAATTATCGGGTAATAACATTTTACTCTTTAGTTTTGAGACCAGAAAGAACAATGCGTTGAAGGAAGTTTGTTTATAAGCTGTCATGTCTCCAAGGATTTTTGTGGCCGAAAATAAACATATACAAAGGTTGTGATAATTTCGCTGAAATTTCCAAAGAGTTCCTAATATTTATCATTTCTTTAAAAATCACTGAAACAAGGATTACTACCCTTCAAAGCCCGTTTTTTTACTTTGAATACACATTTTGCTCTCGCAGTATCCATGCCACACATGCACGTGAACATTTCAAATTACTCGCCCATATTTTATCCAGTCATGAATGTCTCCTAAACTTGTCAATGTCAGTCGTTGCACTTCCTGCATACGCTTTAAATAAATCCATTAAGGGCCTGTTTACATGGAGGTGAGGGACCCCAGGTAGGTGAGGTAACCCGCTTACGTGGGGTAACCCGTCTGTCCATAAAATCCTTCATTTTAATTTGATCAGGTTTACGTGATAGGTAGGGTGACCCGCCACATGTTACCTCACCTATCTGTGGTCCCCCACCCCCATGTAAACAGTCCCTATCTAAAAGATAAAAGATGAAAACGTGCGGAAGCTAAATCCGGATATATTTTTTACCTACTGACGTCACAAGATCGAGCCCAGTTCTTTACTGTGAATATTCAATACGGTCCCAGCAAAGAAAAAAATTGAGGATTCAAAAATATCCGGATACGTGCGTTTGGACAGGCAGCTTCGATTTGAATCCGGATACGTGTGGACGTGGAAATTTTTGTATCCGCAAAGAAAAAGTTGCGGATTCAAAGAAAAACCGAATACGTGTGGACGGGGCCTTAGTCGGGACACCATCGGGAGTCTCAAAATTTGACTTCTCCGACAATTTTGGTTGTTTACCATTTACAAGGGCAAACCGGTGGGTCGACGGTTTGGGTAAATGGTACGTAAAATTCATGACTGGTAAGATTTGTCCCAGGATCGCGTTTACCATTTGTACAAATCAGTTCCATACACCGAGAAACGACCGCGAAGGCCTGAAACTGGTACTAAAGACGGCTTTGAAGAAATGGAACACGAATTTCCCTCTGGAATATTCCGTCCGGGAATAAAGGACTACCATTTTAGATGTTCCATTGCTCCCGGAAATTTTCCACCTGGAACGACACAAAAAGTCGTGTGCCATTCACGTTTCAACCGGGTTTTCCGGAAACTTTTTGTAAATGGTAAACAAGCTAGAAAGCTTAACTCCTCTGACCACCGTACACTTCTATCCAAGCCATTAATTTTCTTTTTTCCTTCTTCTTCTTCTTTATTAGTGTATCCTACCTCACTATATATAATGTAAATATTCTATAAAAGTATGAATAAAATTGAATTGAGTCCAAGAAATTAGCGCAGATACAAAACTTCACGAGCTGGTACTGCAGAGGAGTAGACTCAACTTCGGGTAGACTGTAGTGTGTTATGTATTGAGCGGAATTCCAAAAGAGCGCTCTTATTAAAGAGATATATGGCGTTAACTTTTGCTAAAAAACCGCGATCTACCAAATAAGAAACAACCCTCCTAAACTTCCATCATTTCACATTACCTCTATAAAATTTTATTTCAATCGCCTCTAAAGCAGCAGAGATGTCTATGTTTTAAAAGATGTAGCACAAGCAGAATTTTCCTTATGAATTTATTCATAGTAAGTTTTCGCCCGCGGCCTAAAGTTGGTATTTTTATAGTTCAGTCAGCTGTAAGGCCAGTAAGTTCCAAAGGGCAGAATTTGGCTAAATTAGGTAACACAACTTGTTTAAACGCTACCACGCCCTTTCCCCCCTCTCCTCCCTTCCCTTGCCCCAGTGTCCAAGAAAACTTAAATCTGCCGCGGTAAGATCGCTGATCAACACGTACCAGTAAAGTCCGGGTTCCTTGCAGGCCCTAAAAAGCAAAGTAACATCCCTGTTAGCAGGAGACCTTTCAAGTTTTTTTGACTTTCAGAAATTTTCTGTATAAAGGGTCAAACAAGAATGTATATAAATATATATCTAGCCGGATTTTTGGAAACGTATCTACTAAAATTTGCACGCATTAGAGTGGAAAGGGCCAAAGACAGTTTTTTTTAGTATGAGCCTGAAAATCACAATAGCGAAGGAAACGGAAAGGAAAAAATACAGAAAGCGAGAAGGTGAATCAGTGGTGACACTTTTGGTTTTTATATTGGCTACTTTAGAGAAAAAAACAGCTTGAAGGAAGAGATCTATTTTGCCGTAACATTTTCAAAAAATCCAGCTAAATATATCACCAGAAATCGAGCTTTGTTGTTTGGTGTGTTTTTTTAACCATTTTAGACCACGAGATGAACCATTCCTTAATAATAGTAATAATAATAATAATGATAATGGTAATGATAATGATAATGATAATGGTAATGACAATGATAAGTAATGGTAACAGGACTGAGTGGAGTCCAATTCGGTCTGTAATCAAACGAGTGATTAACAAAATCGGACGACCGCGTAGCGGGAGTCCGATTTGTTTAATCACGAGTATGATTACAGACCGAATTGGACGACACGAAGTTCTGTTACCAATTAATCGTAACTTTAACAAAATTTGTGATATATAGTGCTCTTTTTAAATCAAAACACAAGAAATTCCAAGATTTTTTCGCTAGCAATGAAAAAAATATGGCGCGTACTGTCCAATTACTTAGGCATGACGCGTACTGTCCTATTAAACTGTCCTATTAAGGCTGAAATCAGGGCAGTTGAGAACCAATCAGATTTGATAATTTTGTTATAGTTATGATTATAATAATAATAATAATAATAATAATACAAACATTAACCATAAAGGACTGCAAAGGACCGCAAACGGATATGCCGAAGAACGTAGGATCTATAAAGGCCTGATCAGCAAAAATAACAATGTAGACATATTAAATTCTGCAAGCAGACGTGTTGATTTTCACGTAGTACGATCAGCATTGCAGTATTCTGCTTGCAGAATTTAATATGTCTACAATAATAATAATAATAATAATAATAATAATAATAATATAATGCAAATTTTACCGGTGACCACTTCCGTTAAAAACGGCTATCATTTTGTGCGCCCTGTTTACGTAGCACAGAAGTACGTTTAAAATACTGTCAATATTTGTTACGTTAACCAGTTGGAAAAGCTCAACACGGTGGGTGTATTGGACGTCTTAAATTATATCCTGGGAACTACTTTTGCATCTTTTTATTCGACTGAGCTTAAATTTTGCAGGTTGGTGGACGTTTGTATTGCGAACAATCGTATGTTTTTAACTTCGAAGGAGTTTGGCTTGATAGAAACAAATGTGAAAAAATTTTGGGTGAAGCTCAGTTCCTTTGGAAGATATGGCATCTTGAAGTGTGCTTATGTTTCCAAAAATAGTGACAAAATAGAGGGAAATTCGAAAAGTTTAATCAAAGCTTACCAACTCTTTAAGTAATTGAGCTTTTGAAAACATTTTTTCACGCTTTATTCTATCGCGTCGTGCTCTTTATAATTTTTTTTTTGCCATATCTTGAAATTTTAGTTGTGCTGTAAATCTTGTGACGTCATTTTCCCGCCTAAAACAGTTAAAATCGAAAAACAAAAAAATAGGCCACTTGCACTAAGAGGTCACGTGACCAATGCTTCCTTTAAACAATGAGTTGGAATCTTGCTGATGCCAAAAATTGACAGAGCACATGAAAATTATCTTACACCCGAAATTTGAGAGGAAACGCAGTTAGGGAGATTTTTTATGGCACTTTGATTATTCAACAAAGTAGTATGATTTGTATTGGCCGCCATGTTGGAGGGCATACTCTTGCCCTCCAACATGATGGCCAAAACTACTTTTTGCTTATATCTTGTTAAACGTTTGATACTTACGTTCAGATATACCGTAAACGTGCCGTAAACGGCATCTTTTCAACATTTTCCTTGAATTTTTAGTGCAAAATTTGTGTTCAGAAAGGGTAATTCATAATTTTAAAAATCACATTTTGGTCACGTGACCAGCTACGAAGTTGCTCATTTTAAGAAAATGGTGCGGGTTTGAAAAACCAAGTCACTATCATTTTGTTTAAGATATGACCCACTTATCGTTTTTCGAAGGCAAAATCATATAACTTTCATTTTCATAAAAACGATGTCACATGACCTTTTAGTACAAATGGCCTATTGCGATTGTTTGGAATACAAAGTTCTACCATCCTGCAAAGTTTGAGTTCAAACGAATGGAAAATGCAAAAGTAGTTCCTAGGATGCACTTTTGGGCGTCCCATATGCCCACCATGAAAAAACACGAATTAAGAAAACAAAAAAAGCGTTTCAACCTGTTCACGTATGCTCAAGACGAAGGAAAAATTCCGTTGAGAAACAATAACAAACAACCCAAGACAAAAAGATCTGTTATATTTAAGCTAGATTTTAGCCTCTTTGGCTCGACAAATGTATAAAACAATCGCCAAACATGCCTTCGTCTTTGGCTTTGACTTTGAGACAAACAATTTGAAAAATACTAAATTATCCAACAACAGAAGTTTAAATCTGGGCTGGTTTAGAAGACCAAAGTGGCTTTTACTTAATATATTAAACTCAGTGCTATCTTTAGTATGTGTAAGCTCTGTGTAAAATAAAACTTGTTCTCTTTAACTTAGTTTTGAGTCTAATTTAATTTTGGGGTTTAATTTTACCAATTGCGCGAAATCGGTCCTAGTCGTCATAAAATCCCAGCATTTTGTGAATTGCTTTGATCGAGAAGAGGGTATTCTGGACTAAATCTACTTAAGATATTTATATGCCAGACATTTTTAGGGTGGCTGAACACAGTTTTGTAGGTTGTAAATCGTTACCATTCATAAGGATGTTATTTAAGACTCGCTGCCGGTATACAAGGTGCAAATCTGGCACAGACAAAATTTATTCATAATACATTACGTTTATTAGGTTAAAAGTAAGATTTTGATCGTGCCATGGCAACATAAATGATTTAAAACAAACTTACAATTTTGAGTTTAGTAGATTTTCGCAAAACCCAGTCATTAGATTTCCTTATAAATTTGCACAGAGTTACAATCAGTAAACCTCATTTTTAAAAACATCTTGATTAAATAGGCATTTGCATGATGACATCATTTACTACTACGACCAGAATCCTTCAGGGTTTTCCTTTCTGTTGTAAATTACGGCTTTTGTCATTTAAATCTCGCTGGGATTACCAAATTTAAATATGAAAGGAAAAAAAAGGATTCTGGTCGTAGCAGTAAAATGACGCCATTGCGCAAATGGCCTATTGTAAGGGTTCTTGAAATTTTAAGAAAATAGCTTTCATGTGAGATTTGATTGTGTCACAGAACTCCTTTGTTCGACATAATTTTTGGGCTTCCATCGTTTGAAGTGCGATATTAATAAGAATTCTGCCAAATTTCGTCTGAATTCTAATGAGTAGATTTTGATATATTGTTGTTTAGTTCACTTTGCCTATGAAAGTCAAGAAAACAAGCGCTCTCACATTGTTCCCTAAGTACGCATGCTCAAAGCTTATGCGCGCGCTGAGATCACGCGATGTGACAAAGTGACGAAAACAGAATAAATTTCTACAAACAACTTCTGGGCATTTTTCTCACCTTATCCTGGTATTTTTTTTCTTGAAAATCACATTGGCTGCATATTTTCTCGTGATAAAGATGGGTCGGGGAGTTTATCAGCGCGCGCAATTCTAATAGAGACTGTGTTCAGCCACCTTAATGCCACGATGAATTTAGAGAGGTTGAAAATACCGAGTATTTCGACCCTTACATTTTATGTCGTACACTCTCATTTGCGATAAACGATCTCTCGGACATGTAAATCTTTGTAATAGCGATGGAGAATGCCAAGATTACCGCAAGAAACTGCCACAATACTGTGCGCACATCTCTAAGTATACTAAACAGGGCGATCTGGATGGTGCCAACATCTTTTGGTTGCTCCATCACCTGGCCAAAAGTTCGAAGAGTAAGGCACAAGGTGTTCAAGCTGTAGAGATAGCCAGCAATAGCGAGGGCTCTGTTGTTTGCAACTGATCCGTCATTGAACCAGGTGACAATTCGCAATATCAGTATGATGATGTAGAATACAAGGCTGGCGAAGTCAAACCTGTTCCAACAATCACTAAATCAAAATAAAAACATGAATTTATCACTCTCACTGACCTTGCTAAGACTTGGCTAAGTTAAAAGGAAACTCATCTCAAGTGATTATTTTTACATTTGATTATAGACGGAGGAACTTTAAAGGAGCTGTCTCACGAAAATTCATAAAAATTAAAACAGTAGAAGCTGCCACCAATTGAGAGGAGAAAAAAACAGCTCAGAACATGAACCAAAGGTATAAGTAACAGAGCAAAAGCAAAAGGAGGCACGGATGGACAGACTTGAAAAAGACTGAGACTGATTGAAAATTGTGGTTTCTGATAGCCTAACAAATTAGCCCAACAGTTTTTTGTAACGTTTGATTTAATGCTTAGGAGACACGTTCAGTTTGACATGAGGCTATGATTTTGTAATTTGCAAGTAATTTCCTCTCTAACGTTAAGTTCCATCCAAAAAGGACTTGTAATTGGCAATATTAGCAAAATGAACTAGATAGCCGTTACACAGCCCCTTTAATGCGTTTCGATACGTTGTTTAGAAGACACTATCTGGCCTTGTTGAATAACCCCTCGTCTGCATAATTCTTCACATCATACTCAGCCCAATTGCTAATGGTGTTTTATATGACTTCTTGAAAATCACAAATAATAGTTAATCTACTTGAGGGGAAGTTGTTTTTCTAATTAAGCTTTTTGACCCTTTTCAAAATTGATGAGTAGTTTGTTACTCCTTTATGTTTATATATAATGAGCAGCTCTACCCCTGTTTTAGATTTTAGTTGATTTTGAAAAAAAAAGCTATTGAGGTACGGTTGGATTTTAATAAAAACAAAGGGTTCTTTGAGCTGTTTTAACCAGTCGCTATTTGAAATGAGTCTGATATGAGTGTTTAAAAATATAATGTAAACCATATTCTTATGATTCCTGGCTAGAAATGAAACATTTTTCTGTTATCTTTTTCAGATCAATCATTACCTCAAAAATGTACTGATTTGTTTCATAGTTTGTCTGGCTGAATTACTCACTTTTTCTAGTTATTTTACCCATAGCGAATTGCAATGACTGTGTTTGAATAGGGTTAATTGCTTTCTTTCTTATGAGAGCTCCGCTTGTAGGTTTGCCTAATCAAAATTGAAATTTTTATCAACGTCAAAAGCACGGATTCATTTAATCCTTTTCTATACCTGCAATACACTGAGAATATCCTGACACAGTTTGACTGAAAGGTGTCGTTCTCTGTTTCTCTTAACCACTTCTTAATACACAAAATCTGCTTAAGCTCTGCGACAAAGCGACCAATGTAGAAAACGAGGATGGTCCACTCTAATCCACTGAACGCAACAGTTGTCGGAGATAAGCAGATCGCGTAATGAAGCAGAAGCATGATTATGTAGCTCAACGTATCTCGGAAAAACTTGTAGTACGGAGATTTCAGGTAAGCCAGATACACGTCGGCGGCTGTATAAAAACAAACAAAACAATACAAAACAGAACAAAAAAATGTTTATTTGTGTTCAATTAAGTTTTGAGACGTTTCCCAAAATAATTGTTCAGGTTGGCATCAACTACCGAAAACGACGTGTGTGCCTACCTCTCGATCTGATAAGCTTCTAAAAGATCCAAAAGATTCAGGTTTTTAATGATCAGTCATGTCAAATACTACTGGTCGGTTCAAGTAACGTCTCGACTGAGAAAACGACGTACGGTCAACAGTAGTATACTGCGTTCTTAAAGCCAAGAAGCCTACCAAGACCGCTCGTTTTTTACACCGCTCGGCGAAACAACCGTGATGCATGAAACGTAACTATACAGGTAAGGCAGTGGAGAAAAGTCAAAGGTTGAATGTGACACGAAATCGATCGATGCTTACCGGTCACCAAAAAAAGGAGTTGAAAAATCAATTTCTTTCATTTTTTTTGTCCATAGATTGCTTTTAAGTTGATAAGAAACCTTATGTAGATTGTTCCCGCCAGAAGCCTTTTATTTGTGAGAAAAATTAGAAGATCGGTTTTCGATATCTGAGTCTCATACTGCCCTAATTTTTAACCTGACGTTCGCTAACATCAACTTTCCTTGCGTTCGCAAACGAGGGTGCAAGGACAAATTTGGACACATTCCATGAACAGGAAAAATACTCGTCGTCCTGAAATAATTCAAAAATAGGCACGTTTTACGTGCATGAGCTATTTTAAATGCTTCAGTGTAACCGTATCATCAATCTACTGTTCTAAGACTATTTTTTGCGCGAAATTAGGTATCGTTGTACATTAATGAAAACACGAATCACTGCACACAGCTGAGTCGATCCTCATACTATAAATTCACCTCTCTTTGTCTTTCCTTCCGACATCTGTTGCAAAATAAACAATTTGTAAAAACTATGAATATCAACTCACCAGACGTTGCTTAGGGGGAAGACTCGAAGATTTCAAGGTTTCTTCATGGTTTCTTACAATGTAAGATGATGAAGCTCATGGAATACCGAATAGCTAAGAAATGCCACCATTTTCATCGTTGTTTAGATGGTTGCATCATCATTATTCACGAGGTTGTCACGTGTGCGATTCCACTTAATGAAACATTCTTTTAACTCTGACGACTTGATTCTAAAAGCGCTATAAGTTATTGATTCTTTGGAGAAAAGAGCCTTTACTTATGGCACTAGTTACAAAACTAAAGTGGTCTTCATACATTCATGTTACTATTATTACTGTGAAAAGCCAGTTTGCACGTGAAAGTGTTGAACTTTTTATCGAAAAATAAGGACTTTGAGAATAAAGGAAGATATTTCGCCTTGCTACATTACGAACGAGGCAACGTGGAGCTGTTAAATAAGTTATTTTGGTCACGTTTCACTATATTTCCCGGACTTCGATGCTTTCGTTTGGAGGCTGCCTTCAAGAAACCAAGCCAATTGTCAGGTATGTTTTAGATACTGTTTAAATGTGTGATTAAACGAGGACTGAGAAAATTTGGAGCTATACACCGAATGCAAATATGGCGGACCTCTCGGCCGGCCCGGGTCTAGTTGCGCGAAAGCGAGGCTAGTGAGGCTCAAGAGTTTTGTTTTGACTGCGAGTCTTAGCGATCGAGTCGATCGATATGGTTTGCTTCGAGTTGTTGCATGCTTGAGGGCCACCAAAAATAAGATTTTACTCTAGCTTGAATAGCCTTTACTTTCCCGAGATCGTTTCACAAAGAAAGTTAAGGATTCATGCGATTCGGCGCGGCGATGGGAAGCACTTAACAGCGAAAGTATGCTCGCTTCACTTGCTTTAGATGAGAGCACTCACGAAAGTATTTGAATGAAATAATTTTCACAAGAGATGGTGCTGTTCCAACATGTTTGCATAGTCTGTTATTTATTTAACAAAAGGTAAACATTCTCGAGAACGGGAGCATCCGCTGTGGACTGTAAGATCTTTTAGATTTCACGCTGAAAACAGCTGCATTAAAATACAACAACAACAATAACAATCGCCTGTTAATCCTACAAGCGTTGCCTGTGAAACTATGTAAGAACCAGAAGAAAGCGACATATTTCACGAACAGTCCTTGACCAAAGTGCACTGAAAAAACTAACAGAGGAACCGTTGCCAACTAAGAAAGTAAGAGGAGGGAAAAAGGTTCTCGCAGAGAAAGAGCGTGCAAGTATTCGAGCATTGTATTTGACCTTGAGCGTGATCTCAGTTTAGCAACTTGTCGAATGGTTTCGAGATAAACTATCAGCGATTTTCCAAAAGTTGCTTCTTTTATGGCCCTGCTCAAACTCTTGAACACAGGATTGTGAAGACTGTGAAAACATTGGGCCTTGTTGTCTGTCGTTGTGTCGAGCCCTGAGAGCGCCTAAAGATTGATAAGTCGCGACGACGGATTCACTCGTTCTGGGGGATATTTACCTTTCCTTGGTAAGAGAACGGACAAAGCAAACTTGAAACAGAACCATGAATCTTTCAGTTATTCACCCATTCTAATAGTTTCGTGAGTCATTCTTCTCTTCTGAAGTGAAGCGAGCACACTTTCGTTCTTTTCACTCCGTAATAGTAAAGTGCCTCCATTCGCCGCGCCGAATCGCTTTAATCCATTTCTTTCTTCGTAAAGTACCTTGGCAAAGCGAAAATAATCAACTTTCGTCTCCTCTTTGATGGTTCTTAAGCACGTAACAACTCGAAGGAAAAAAATATTGATTGACTGAATCGCTAAGACGCGCAGCCAAAAGAAAATTCTCGAGGCCTCACTAGCCTCGCTTTCGCGCAACTAGACCCGGGCCGACCGAGAGATCCGCCATATTTGCATTCGGTGTATACCACATGAAGAATAATGTCGCAGAAAACAACTACTTAATTAAAGTTTTGTCACCGTAAAAACCTGTCCTTCGTTTTAGCTTGAATTTCATCCGATTACTTCGAGTCGTTATAACTCCCTCAGTAACGTCTGAATCGACCGGCCGTTTAATGCCGTCCAGTGACGTCATTACTCCTTTGCTTTAATTCCTGCTAAAAGTTAAACACGATTTTCAAGCGGCAAACCAGGAAATATCGCTTGGAGATGTTTGCATGATACAGAGCCGTTTTACTTTTTTTCCATCGTAATTCATGTTTAACATTCAAACTATTAACTGCATGCAGTACTCTGAACCGCTTGTAATTCCATAATCAAACTCGGTTGCAATCACGCAATGAAATAGATACACACACGGAACACTTAGTTCAAAAAGACAACGATTTGCTTTAATTGAAAAGAAGCTATATGTCCTATATCGTCCTTAACGAAGAAAAAAGAAAACAAGGAAACAAGAAAGCATTAAGAAAGAGAAGCTAACAGAATCATTACACTTGACGGTGAAAATAGCTAGAAGGTCGAATTATAACATTGGTCTCAGAAACTTGGCATAAACAAAATCACTGCCGAAACTACAAAGCGGCTTTAAATGAAAAACCTACCGACTCTCCGCAATGATTCTTCATTCGCAGTTCAATTAAGGTGACTCGACCCAGTTTTTTTTAGGGGGTACCATCCTACTTTGAAGCTCTCTGGTATCCCCACCTTTACTTTTATCGTAAGTCTAACACATAGAATGGATAACATATAGATCAATCTACAATATAACATAAAGTTTTTGGCGATCGGAGTAAATGTCACGTGGTTATAATGCCACGCCCCTTTGAGGTCTGAGTCGAAAATCTGCTGTTGCCGGCATTTTTTCGTGAAAATCTCTCGGCTACTCGTAGTGCGCATTAGTGCCTTGCGCTGAACAGAGTTTCACCAAAATCGCAAAGACCCAATTCGAGAAATTCAGCGGTTTCCAAATTTAGGTCATAATTTATGCGAAAATGATAAGCAAACTTTACACGGATTATATCTAATAAACTACGAGATTCATCTCTGTATTTTGGGCATCCTTATAACAGATGGGTCCTTGCAAGTCAGCAAAACGCTTTAGGGCCTTGTAAATGCGCGCGATTTTGAGCAAAGCAAACATATAGAAATTATAGTTTTCGCTATTTGTTGACGTTTGTCAGCGTTTAAGAGTCAATCTCACGAAAAAAGCATTTTCTTAAAAATTCGTAGTTTTTTTTCCTTCAAATTTTTTCAGGGCCACAATTGATTAACTAACTACCCGGACTCTGAATTTCATGGTCATTGAAAAACTGCGACATTACCTTCTATAAGCCCAAACTTGAGGAAACATTGAAGATTTTTAGCGTTTTGGCTGAGTTTGTGCTTTGGGAGTTGTCTATTGTTTCTAGTCTGTCATTATACAGCATTCTTGTTNGTGTAGCCGAGAGATTTTCACGAAAAAATGCCGGCAACAGCAGATTTTCGACTCAGACCTCAAAGGGGCGTGGCATTATAACCACGTGACATTTACTCCGATCGCCAAAAATTTTATGTTATATTGTAGATTGATCTATATGTTATCCATTCTATGTGTTAGACTTACGATAAAAATAAAGGTGGGGATACCAGAGAGCTTCAAAGTAGGATGGTACCCCCCCAAAAAAACTGGGTCGAGTCACCTTAAGCACTTCAGCTTCGAAGACGAGGGCAATTTTGTTGTTTACGATAAAGATTATTGGAATGTTTGAATTCCAAGCAAGCATACCAGGGATGCAAGGCCAGGGATGTGTCCGCTGAATATCAAGCGACAATCCCAGCCAAAATTTCTCATAATTATGCATAATTATGCGAATGTTTAGACAATCAACCAATCAAAATCACTACCCAGTTTTCGGGTAGTGATGACGTCACTGGACGGCATCAACGGCCGGTCGATTCAGACGTTGCTGAGAGGAAAAGTCGACTCGAAGCAATCAGATGAAATTCAGGCTATCTTCGTTTTTGAATTATGTCAGTTCAACGAGTCTCGATATTCCTTTTAAAGTATCTTCTAGTGAAAGAAGAAGAGTTGTTCTATTGATGCAAAGTGTCCAAATTTCGGAATGAGTTTGCGGAATGGCATGTGGCATGTAATGTATGCAGAATGACTAAAAGAAATAAACTAAACTGAAAAGCACACCTTTTTTGGCGCCAATCAATTTGCAAATGCAGCGACTTTTTTTATGTTGGGGGCTCGACTACGATGACAATAAAAAAGATACATAGGTTCCTTGATTTCTCACTCTCGATTAGCCTTTTTTTTTTTCAGCCACCAAGATTCTACTTGCCTTTATCAGTCGGGCTGCGTGTCATTACCAATACTACATCACGAAAGTCGGCCATTGAACAAAAGATGTTTTGGAAGGTCACGCTCCCTTCTGCTTTAATTTTTCTGCAAACGATGTTTGCACGATGAACTTTACAGGTTTTTTACCCTTATTTGTACCGTAGAACCCCGATATCTCGAACTCGGATAACTCTAGCCTGCGAGCAAGCTCTCCTATTTGGGCGAGTGAAACGAGTCTCGCGAGAACGCGCGAGGGGCAGACGAAAGGAGAGCTTGCAACGATCTCTCATAAATTTTCATTTGTACTTCGCCCAGACGAAGGGAAATACAATTGGCTGAAAAATGACGTTCCGGAAATCAAAGTTGATTGATAACAGGCTAAGCTGGCACCGCCTTCGTCTGTGTGACAAGTTTGGTTTTTCAGGGGGATCAGATTGGTACCGAAAACTTGTTTCAGCCCTCAAAGCAGACGGGCTCGTTTAATGTAATTCTTGCAAAGAGAATATTGCGAGCCGAGGATAAGTCTGACTGAGTTTGTAGTTCAGTTGTATTCGTTTGTGACAAGCGCCTTGTGTAGTTCTGAAAACGGGAGAGTAAAAGTGAAGAGTGATTCAAGCGCTGTCTTCCAACATCGGTTTCTTCGCCCGATTGAATTCTACTGGGTAGAAAAATTCAGAAACATGTACTTGACAGTGCAGCCGCTGTGTAGCTTGACCGTAAAGAGGGAAAAGAGAAAGAGTTGGAAGCAACTGGAGTAAAACGTAAGAGAACCAAGTGCAGGAAAACGCTATTCTCCAGTTCCAGAGGGACAAATATATGATGTTTTTGTTGGTGATTGCGATGGGGAGTAGTCTTCTACACTGCAGTATGGACGACTTTTCAAAAGTAAACGAAACGAGAATCAAAGTAGTGATTTCTTATCCGAGCGGACACGTTGAAGTTCGATGTTCCCGTGGAAAAAATAAACACATCAGTGATTAAAAACATTGCTTTGATGCTGTTGCGAAAGCGATTTATAAATAAATAATTCTACGCGCCCTCGGCTGTCTAAACTTACTTGACTCGCGGTTGTCACTTTTTTAATCTGCGGCACGTTTGCGGTGACAGTTTTCACGCTTTGCGGAGTCCCGGGGGTTCCGGGGTGGGAATGAAAATTTATGAGAGATCGTTGCAAGCTCTCCTTTCCTCGGCCCCTAGCTCGCGCGTTCTCGCGAGGCTCGCTTCACTTGCCCAAATAGGAGAGCTTGCTCGCAGGCTAGGATAACTCGAACTGAGTCCAGTTTCCCTTGGATTTCATCCCACTTTTCATTCATTTTTACTCGGTTAACTCGAACACGGATACCTGAATTCCTCTCTGACTCAAACTAAATTTCCTTTCCCTTGATCAAAAATTCACTAAAATTTACCCCAGTACCTCGAATTATGGCGTTCTTGTACTCGGCTCCACTAAGATGCCATCCCATTAGTTCTTCTTGTTGTATAATGGCAAAAACACTTAAAACAAGACTAGTCAACACTACAGCAATTTGATTTTAATTGATGCAACGAACAGATAACGTTTTATCACTACAAATGGTTAATCATTTTACCGTTTCTGATGAAATAAGTTAGATTTTTACTGCACTATACACTGAAGTGCTGAAAAATCAGTAGCTATAAATTTGCAAATTGAATTTCGCAATCGACCCTGATAACTCGAACCCTCGCTAACCCCAGCTGTAACTCGAACTGTTTTTCGTTTCCCTTTAGACTTCGAGTTACTGGGGTTTTACTGTATTTGAAACCGCGTGAGAAGTCTTTCTTTTTGAGACGGTGGGTTGCGTGATCGTGACATAATATTCAGAGACCATATATATCCGACTTCACGTTCAACGAGCATTCTTTTCCCTCTAGCGTCACAATAAAAGTGACCCTGCACGTATTAACGAGGCTCATTTGTTTATTTCATTTGGGACTACCGAGTCTACCATTTCCTAGCAGCCTCGTAAAACTTACCGCTGGTAGAAGTAATTTCCTCCATAATCCTCGTGAACTCCAACGTGCTGGTCTGCCTTGCTGGTTTGAGCTAGCAAAGCGATTGCTCGTTCAAATTTGTGTCAAAAAAAAATCGCCTGACGCAAAAAGACGCGGCAGAGACGCGCGTATGCTTATCTGTTTCATTTATTTCTTTGCGCCATTTCCATATATTACATTCCGCATAATTATGTCATTCCTTAAGCTATGACACATGCCATTCCGCAAACTCATTCCGCCTCTTAACCTCACCGCAATTAAAAAACCTAGTGCTGCTAGTCTTAAGGTATAACAGACTTGTTGTTTGCCTTCGCTTTTCGTTAAAAAATTAACCAGAAAAACTGTTGTCCTCGCTCGTTGGCTGTTTGTTAATTTAGATTATTAATTTTAGCGAGCTTTTCAGAACTGCAATAAAACAACAACAGAACAGAACTACAAAGTGTGTTTGTAATATCGTTTTTCATTTTGTTTATAGGTCAGTTGCGCATGCAGTTTTAGTGTTGTCGTTTCGTCTATCCAAAGTAGCAGATAACATTTTAATAGCTGGATTTATAAAAACATATCTTGTCTTAGACGGTTGTTTCTAGCTTAGTAAATTCGCAAATTGCAAGTGTACTCACAGGACGGACTAAATTAATTGCACTTGAGAGTGAGAACTTGTTTGGTTTGTTCTGAGATAATTTATACATCCTTCAAAAAAGTTCGCGATATATTTCTCCAAGATTTTTAAAGATTCATGTACTGAAAATCGGGGAACAATAGGAAAAATCGTAAAATAGAAATTTCAGTATTTTAAAAATCGAGCGAACCTAGCCAAAATCTTAAAATTAGAACATATATCGTGTCGCCGTCTTTTCGAAAACTTTCTACCTTCTACGCCAACAGAAATAACCTTAAAAACTCCTCTAATCTCACAAGAAGTTAAATTTGACTGTGCCGACTTTTTTATTGTTAGTTGAAAGAAACATAAAAGCTATTTTCTACATTTTCCCACGTATGAAAAAATATGCATACTAAAAACAGTATACAATGGAAGTAATTTTAATTGGTTAATTAGCTGATTCGATCGGTAAATGTCAATCAATCAAAAAAGTGGACGGTAGACGTTTTGTATCAGGCTCTCTCTTCGTTTCGCCTTGCCCGCCGGAATGTTATTTTCAAAGAGAAACGAAAATATAACCTGATCTCAGGTTAAGTAAAATGCGGCCAAAAAGTGCTTGGTTAGTTAGCAAAACACTACTTTTTTCGCGGTCCGGTAAATGACAGGATTTCGCATGGAAATAGACAACAAACTTACTGAAACATAGTGCACAAATTATCACCTGGCCTTCTTATCTGTAAAACCTGGCCCATGGTTCAAAAGCTAGGAGTCCGCTGAAACTAGACTTATATCAAATTCTCCTGTGTCGAGAATTGGTTTTCCAAGGCACAATCAGCTAAGCAGCACCGTCGAAACGTTTTTACGGCTTGCACAGAATAGTTTGGTGCAACAGCTCAACAACGTGACCACATACCTGAGTTCTGCCTGCCCTCTATCAACACAGTTTGCTAACCCGTTTTTCACAAAGCCATTGTATAATTTTGAGTACATCGCTATAAAATACTAACAGAGCAGTTATATCAGTTTTTTATCTAAAGAATAATTGCCCCAAAATTGTCCTAACGGGCCAACTTACCTGAATTTTCCGTAAGAGCTTTTTTGCATCTCAAATAGTTGTCTTCCTCAATAATGGTCTTTAATTTGACTGTCTCCACATTGATTTTTCTCTTTATGTCATCAGTGACTAAAAACCTCTCTACAGCCTCATTCAGGTCACCAGAAGTTTTGTCATTCCAAAGACTGTCGAGACTCTGCAGGTCGGCGCACTGACCTTTTATTACCAAAGATCCCGTTCCCAGAGATGTTAAGGAAAAGTTATAAGTGTTTTCTAAATGCTTAACGAAATCACATATGCTCAGTCCATGGGCTGTAGAAAGCTTGGTTCCTTTATTGTATTTCAAGTACACTTCAAGTTGTTGTCTTAACATTCGATCCACGACGTCCTCCACTTCACTACTTAAATCAAGTGTGGTGATTGACATCTTTACAGGGTTTGCTCGTTCTGAAAATTATTGATAGAAAGCATAAATAATTATTACGATTCAAGAGAAAAAAAACATTTTTTAACTAATGCATAAAGGAGCCTGTAAACGGACATTAGTAGTGTACTATGTTGTAGTGAACTATGTTGAAACCGGATTTAGTTATAGGTATAGGTAAATCATTAATATTCACATACCTTCCTGCAAACCAATTCGGTATAGGTGTAGCTGAATAATTAATATTCACATACCTTCCTGAATACTAATTCGGTATAGGTTTACTAATGAGCGCATCTCTACTACAATAGGCACAATAGGCGTGCCTAGGTTGGCCCGTTAAGTAACTTGAGGCCGGTTTTCGGACCGTCTATTGAAAAAAATACGAATAAGAGAAGCGATCACCTAGCAACCATTACTACTACTATATCTACACTACGTTTCCTTCCTCAATTTTTTTATTCCCTCCTCCACAATTTTATTATTTTCTCTCCTCATTCTTGAATTCCCTCCTTCTCCACAATTTTGATCTTTTCTCACCTCCTCCTCAATCTTGATTTCCCTCCTCTACAATTTTATTATTTTCCCTCCTCCTCATCCACCTCCTCATTTCTTTACACATTTTTCCACCCACAAATACATCGACTTTTTTCAACACAGCTTCGTGAATAGTGAAAGTATATACCACCACCAACACATTTTATTGTTTTCCCTCCACCACCACCACATTTCTATTGTTTCCGTCGACCACCACCACTACCACATTACCATTGTTTTCCCTCCACCACCACCACCACATTTCTATTTGTTTCCCTACACCACCACCACCACCACATTTCTATTGTTTCCCTCCAGCACCACCACCACGACCCTGCATAGTCTAACTATCTTATTACTTATGCTTCGCAACCACTAGCTTTTGAAATGTTAAAAGAAGATAAAAAGGGACGAAGCAACGGTTTATCCGCATCGATGAAAGACAAAGAGCCTAATAGCCTCCGATTGAGGAATGGAATTTCAGCAGAGTCATTATTTGGCACACTCATGGCTTCACTCATCAAGAAATCATTGAGAGCATTAACTGTTTTCTTTTGGAAAGATATAAAAACTTCTCTTTTGCAAATCGCTGGGATAGCCGAGTAACACATAGATTTCACAATACCCCACCACTTTTTGGAAGGAATTGCAGGATCACAAAGAATTTGGTTCATTTTTGTATTATAATTAGTCTTTGCCTCCCTGAAAAGACCAACTACTAAATTCCTAATTTTTTTTTCTATTCCAACATCATTTCTAGAAATGTAGAAATGCTAAAAAATATGAACTACTTGTAAACTATACTGAAACCTGAAATAGTTACCTAGGTCGTCGTAATAGCAGATTTTGCAATCAGTTGTGTTACTGTTAGCACGGTTGGACTATTAGATTTCATTCCCACAATTCAAGTCAGTGAAAGCCACGGATGAAATCATCAGCATTAATACAACAACTAATCGACTTCTAATTAAGGTTTACCCAGTTCATAGAAACTGTTCAAAACAATGTACCTGTCCAGTACTTTCGTAGAGAAAATAGACCAAGTAGGATTGGAGACAAAGCAAGGTCAAAAAGACACCAAAAATTGAAGAAATTAAGCTGCCAAGATTCACACTCTTCCAAAGTGCGACCACGCCACTTACGATTCAATTCACTGTGCACAGCTGGATGGGTGAAAAACTGTCAACGAAGGAGAAAGAAA